GCTCCCGCCGCAGCATGGGCCTCGCTGCAGGACATCGGCGCCCTGCCTCTGCCGCTCGGGAGCGGCGCCCTCGCCACAGCAGCGGGCCTCGTCCCTGGCTCTGGGTCCTTCCCCTTCGTTGTCGCCCCCCTCCCTGCCTGGACCTGTTACTCCTCCCGACCCTTCCGCTCCAGGCCCTGATGCTGCTCCTCCTCGCGTTCCTCCTCCTGCGCATCCCAGAATTCGGGGCTTCGTGAACGGGGGCTTAACTAAACGGGGGTTTGGGTTTTTCCATCTGCCCCCGTGTACTGTACCCCCGTCTCCGGCGCCCAGGGCCCGCTAAACGTGGGCATAGCGGAACGTGGAACTCGGCGTTCCCCGTGCCCCCGCTTGCTGTGCCCCCGTCTATGGCGCCCTGAAGAATACAAGTCGAGGCTTGGCCGGAGAATGCAGGTCGGTCACCAAGAACCGGTCCGGTGACGTCTCCCGGCTTTGTGGCAAGGCCAGCACCCGAAGAAGGACTACATTATTCGGGGGCGCCCAAACATGGTTCGGCGGAGGTGCCCTCCCAGAATGCGGCCCATGCCGCCTCGCTCGGCGGCAAACATCCGCGATTCCCCCTGGAAGCAGGACCCGGCGTCGCTAATCCACGCCACCTTGATCCATGCTTGCGATCGCCCGAATCACACAATCGAAGCGGGGCCGCGGGCGCCGCGTGAATCGTTCCCCCCCCTCCTCCTCCTCCTCCTCCTCCTCCTCCTCCTCCTCCTCCTCCTCCTCCTCCTCCATGCTCTGGGGGGGCCTGTGCTCAGGGGAGGCTGCAGCACCGCTCAACGATGTGCTGTTTAACCGAACCTGCAGGGCGGGCCCTTTCCCAAATCCGTGCTTCGGTGCGGATCGTAAGCGCGCCTCGTCTCCGTCGTCGTCGTCGTCGGCGTCGTCGTGGTCGTGGTGCGTGTTGCTCTGCTCGGGAGTCAGTTTCCCTTATGCTGTGACCACCCACTTGGCTTGCCAGGCATTGCACGCCGCCTGGCTGTCCGTCCGTCCGTCTGTCTGTCTGTCTCCCCGGCTCTGTGAGCCGCGGCGCTTTGAGATCGGGGACGTGTCGGCCACCGCCGCCCTCTCCCTTGTCGGTGGCCCTGACGAGGTTGGGGGAGAGGGTGCCGAAACGCGCCCAGAGTCCAGCAAGGCGTGAGGATGCAAACCCGACTTGTCTGGCTGATGCTCTGGGGGGGGGCCTGTGCCCAGGGGAGGCTGCAGCACCGCTCAACGATGTGCTGTTTAACCGAACCTGCAGGGTGGGCCCTTTCCCAAATCCGTGCTTCGGTGCGGATCGTAAGCGCGCCTCGTCTCCGTCGTCGTCGCCGGCGTCGTCGTGGTCGTGGTGCGTGTTGCTCTGCTCGGGAGTCAGTTTCCCTTATGCTGTGACCACCCACTTGGCTTGCCAGGCATTGCACGCCGCCTGGCTGTCCGTCCGTCCGTCTGTCTGTCTGTCTCCCCGGCTCTCTGAGCCGCGGCGCTTTGAGCTTCTTAGCTCGGGGACGCGTCGGCCACCGCCGCCCTCTCCCTTGTCGGTGGCCCTGACGAGGTTGGGGGAGAGGGTGCCGAAACGCGCCCAGAGTCCAGCAAGGCATGAGGGTGCAAACCCGACTTGTTTGGCTGATGCTCTGGGGGGGCCTGTGCTCAGGGGAGGCTGCAGCACCGCTCAACGATGTGTTGTTTAACCGAACCTGCAGGGTGGGCCCTTTCCCAAATCCGTGCTTCGGTGCGGATCGTATGCGCGCCTCGTCTCCGTCGTCGTCGCCGGCGTCGTCGTGGTCGTGGTGCGTGTTGCTCTGCTCGGGACCACCACCACCACCACCACCACCTCCTCCTCCTCCTCCTCCTCCTTCTCCTCCTCCTCCTCCTCCTCCTCCTCCTCCTCCTCCTCTTCCTCGTCAAGCAACAGGTCCTCCTCCGCCCCCCTCCTCCTGCGGGTGACCCGCTGCGCGGGGGAGTGCGGCTCGCCGCTCGGCGCACGAGCTGTCGCGGGTGGCTGGACATCCCCTCGGGTTCCTGAGTGGCATCTTGAGGCGTAGACTGAGGTCGGGCACGTCCCCCTGCAGGGGGATTTTGGGCCAAACAAAAATGTCAAACAGCACTCGAAGTAGCCAAACATACTCCAAACACCGTCCCCACATTGTACTATTTTTTGAATATTCCTCCTGTAGTGGGACAGGCCCGACTTAAGGCTCCAGATGGCATCCAAGATGGCCACGTTGGCCCAAGATGGCCTCCACGATGGCCCGAGATGGCCTCCAAGTCGCCAAAGATGGTCCAGGATGGCTTCCAAGACGGCCCGAGACAATCCAAGGTGCCCCCAGGTTCATCCAAGAAGCCTCCAAGACGGCCCAAGATGGCTCCAAGATGGCCTAAGACTGGCCACGAGGCCCCCAAGAGGTATTCAAGACGTCCTCCAGGAAGGCCCGAAAGGGCTCAATTCATTGATTGTCCTTAAGTTGTTGAAGGATGTTTGCAGCTTCCTCTTGTGAGCTCTCCGACGGCCCAAGAGGCCCCCAACATCGTCCCAAGAGCACCAAAAAGGCCTCCAAGATTGCCCCATGACAGCACAAGAGGCCCCCAAGAGGGCCCCAAAAAGAGCCCAAGACGGCCCAAGATGGCCCCGAAGGCGCCGAAGATGGCCTCCAAGACGGTCAAGATGGCCTCCAAGATGCCTCCAAGACGGCGAAAAAGGCATCCAAGACAGCAAAAGTGGCCCCAAGATGCACCCAAGACGGCCCCAGATGGACTCAAGATGGCCAGAGACTGCCCAAAAGGCCCGCTAGAGGCCTCCAAGACGGCCCAAGAGCCCTCCAAGACGCCCTCTAGGAGTGTTCCCCGAAAGCTTTCCAAACCGATTCGGGGAACATTCGTTCCGCAAGATTGGCAAGGACCTGACTCAACCTTCTGCCGACAGGCCCCAAGACGTCTCCAAAAGCGCACAAGAGCCCCCAAGGGGCCCCGAACACGCCCATTCCTCACTCTCCTCCTTCCCCGTCGTCCCCCACGTGTTCCCCGAAGGCTGTTCAAAACGATTCGGGGAACACATGGTCTGATAGCTTGGCAGGGCTCTGGCCTCAACGTTCGGCCACATAGGCGCGTCCGAAAGGGGAGGGGGCGGCGGTGACTCGCCGTAGGCGTCTTCGATCAACAAAAAAACTCCAAGAAACCCCCCAAGGCGCCCACGAAACCCTCAGGAACAACCGACAACAACCGCCAGTGCCCCGAGGGGTCCGCGGTATGGCGCAAGCTTGAACATAAATAGACACAAATCCGAGGATCCCCATATGTTCCACATGTCCCGGATGTTCGTCTCCCCCCTTACTTCCCATATAGTTACAATCCTGGGAATCGGCGGTTCTGTGTCTGTGTGTTTTACCCCCAGAAAATAGAATTGATGACAGACTCGCCCAAGCTCAACAACAGGGTGAGGCTGACACGGGGTCAGCGCTGTCCGTGCCCTGCCACCCGCACAATGACACCGTGGGCCAAACTGGCGATGGAAAGAAGGAGCGCGGGGTGGGCGAGGGAAAGGAGGCAGAGGGGGAGAAGGCCAGAAAGGTGCGCTCGCGCAAGATCTGACATCCTACCCCTCCCGCACATCGCTTCCCATCCCTTACCGTCCCTTCTCTATCCGCCGACGCGTATCATAGCGGACCTGAAACTCCACAAGGCCCCGATCATGTGATGCGCAGTCACAACATGGGAACTGCGCACATTGGAGTAGGGGGAGGTCGCGGATCCAAGAAAGATCGAGAGTACCTGGGGCGAGCCAGTTCGCAGCATCTGGCGCTTACATTAATTTGGGCAAGCACGGCTGCTGCGACTGTGGCTCGCTGCTGTGATGGCGTAGGCTGGTCCACATGGGCATTCGCTGCTTTAGCCGTGTGATGAAACGCGAACACAGGCAAAGCATGAAACGCGAGCACAGGCAGACACATCGCAGCAGCGCGTGCGTGGTCAACTCGCACAGTCGTGTCCGTGATCAACCGCAAGGCCGAAGATCGTGAAGGGATTGGCGGGAAAATGGAGGAGCTCACAGAAGACGGGGCAGGAGAGGTGCGCCGTCGGGGCCACACGTGCGAATGCGATGGCTGGTCCAGGCGCCTGCGCGTGTCTTCAGCAAGGGCCGCTGCCGCGCGGGTCTTGGTTTCTTCACTCAAGTCCGATCTTCCCCCCTACAGTGCGGGCGCGGCCGCAAGAAACCCTCGCAAGAAACCCAACCCTGAACACCCGCACGCGAGGTACACCTGAGGGGAAGCCTGGAGCACCCGGAACGCAGCAGATTCTTCAACGGCCGCGGGAAGTCACCGCGCAAGCAGCGCGCGGAGCGAAGAAACCCAGGGTATCCTGACGAAAAGCAAATGGTTTCTTGATGCGCGTCCCACTAAAGAGGATGAACAGGAGGAACGTGTTTGGGAACGCGTTGCACACCACAGCGTGGGGGGTGAGCAGGAGGAGGAGGGAGGACGAGGAGGAACAGCAGCTGGAGCGAAGCGAACGGGGGGAGAACGAGGACCAGGGAAAGGCGAGGGGAGAGAAAGGGGCGCCAACGATGAGTAAGGGCTCGGATTCAGAAGAGTGGTCCGCGCTGGGGCGAGAGCGCCAGTCCGAACGACGGGAACAAGGGCCGATCCTAAAGTGAGGCCCGCGCTGCAGCGGGAGCACGATTTTGAAACACTGAGAACGATTGGAACCAAGACAGCAGGAAAGAACAAGTGCTGAACTGAAATCCAGTGAAAAAACAATTCGCGGAGAGGGGAATCTTCGGGGCAGGTCCAGGGAGAACGGAGAGTCATACTCAGGTTGAGTAATTGTGGAGGGGGGCAAGCACGAAACGAACAATGGGGACAAGAAACATGACGAGGAGAATGAAGATAAGGACACGGAGGGCAATGAGAGGAGGCACGGAGGCTTATCACGTCCCGTGGAACGCCCAGAATGTTGCCGCAGGAGCACTCTGGCCACTGGGCCCGATTGCACTATTGCTGCAGAATGCTATTCAAGAGCTCCTTGTCGAGCTCGGTCACTATTCTGACGTACTCCTCCCGTCCCAACACTTGGCAGGTGCACATCCCAACGTCACGGGCCCTGACAGTCTGCCCGTTCTCCCCTCGATCGTCCTCTCATATCCTCTTGCCTTGTGTTCTCACATAGCATCATTCGTCCTTGCGCGTCATCTTCCCTACTATGCTCTCCTCTTCTCTCCTCTCCTCCCCCTCATCTCCTCTATCTGCGCTCCTCGATTTTCGCAGCCCCCCAGGGACGGCGAGCTACCGCTCAGATCCACGCGGTGCCTCACTCCGCTGGACCCACCAGCAGCACTCGAAAGTGATGTCGATTTCGCAGATCGCAGCCCCCCAGGGACGGTGAGCTACCGCTCAGATCCGCGCCTCACTCCGCTGGACCCACCAGCAGCCCTCGAAAGTGGCGACAATTTCGTAGATCGCAGCCCCCCCGCGAGCTTCCGCTCAGATCCGCGCGGTGCCTCACTCCGCTGGACCCACCAACTGCCCTCGAAAATGGCGACAGCTTCGCAGATCGCAGCAACCCAAGAGACGGCGAGCTACCGCTCAGGTCCGCGCGGTGCCTCACTCCGCTGGAACCACCAGCAGCACTCGAAAGTGGCGACAATTTCGCAGATCGCAGCCCCCCAGGGACGGCGAGCTACCGCTCAGATCCGCGCGGTGCCTCAATCCGCTGGACCCACCAGCAGCACTCGAAAGTGGCGACAGCTTCGCAGATCGCAGCCCCCCAGGGACGGCGAGCTACCGCTCAGATCCGCGCGGTGCCTCACTCCGCTGGACCCACCAGCAGCCGTCGAAAGTGACGACAGCTTCGCAGATCGCAGCCCCCCCAGGGACGGCGAGCTACCGCTCAGATCCGCGCGGTGCCTCACTCCGCTGGACCCACCAGCAGCCCTCGAAAATGGCGACAGCTTCGCAAATCGCAGCCTCCCCTGCCTGGGACGGCGAGGTCTCGCGAGAGACAGGAGGCGGGAGACAGGAGGCGGGAGGATGCGGGAGGAGGGAGACGCGGTGCTCTATTCAGACGAAGACGTATTCAAGGAGGGTTGGGAAATATTCAAAGATACTCAAAAATCGTCCCGAGCATCCTTTGACTATTGTTTGAAAACTCCTCTTGTAGAGGGACGGGCCCGACTTAACGCGGTTGCTGGTCCACGCCGTCGATGACTCAGGCTGGCAATGGTGCATCGCATGATGCTCGCGTGCCCTCCCCCCCACTGGGAAATACAGTCAAACTGCCTAATAAGGATGTGCGGTAAGGATGCAAGGGCCTTGGAGGGCCACGTCGACACCTTTCGAGCGGGGCGCGGCCAGCGAAAGTGGCCGAGGATGGGCCGCACGGGAAGGATGCTAGGGTCACCTTGGAAAGTCGCTCATCCTTGCTAACCGTCTTTTTCCAGCCTGGAACATATCCCTATCCCTATGCTGGGCACCCTCTCATCACGATGCCAATCTTAGGGATTTCCTTATTTTTTGAGAGCGAATCCCTAAGATTGTCATCACCTTTTGGCGTGTCAATCTTAGGGATAGGGATACGTTCGAGGCTGGTAAGTCTTGAATGTATGCGCCCGCAGACATCGTCCCCAACGCGGCCGCCGTCGACATCCCGGGGCCGCCGAGGACTGCAGCTCCCACCCCGGGCGCGGGAGAGGACTCGCACGGCGCGGCTGCCCCACGGCCGCTCCCGCGCGGGGTCGGCGCGGGTGTGAAGATGGGTCCAGTGGGTGCCCGCACGCGCACGGGCAGCCCCCCCCCGTTTTGGACGCCCGACGCGGGTGCTGACACTGCACGTGCACGATGCCACCCAACAAATGTTGCCCAAAATCGACAGCGGCCGCTGTTGGGCAGGCGGCCGTTTGTCTAAAATGGGCAGCGCCCGCGGCGGTGCAGACACCGAACGTACAGGAACTGCTGTTGGGCATCGTACCTATTCTTTCCGTACCCATTTCGTTCGTGCCGACCCCCCCTGAAAGGAAACGCTAGCGTTAAGTCGGGCGTGTCCCCCTACAGGGGGATGTTCGAAGAAAAATTTAAAATAGTCAAAAACTATTCCCAAATGGCGAAAATACGCAAAACATGTTCCCCATACTATTTTTAAATTATTTCTGAATATTCCCCCTGTAGAGGGACAAGCCTGACTTAACGCTAGCGGGGGACTTTCTCAGGGGGAGAAACATCGAGGATGGGTCGGCGACACATCGCCGATAGATCGGCGACAGGCCCCGTTCCTGGGCGGGGTGGGCTATCAGGCCCCCATCGGCATGTCAATGGGCGATTGGAGGTCGATGCATCCCCCCTGAGCATCTCCCCCCCGACGTTGCTCCCTGGTTTTAGGGTCATGACTCGGGCCTCCGGCAGCCGTTCGGGACCATCGGGGCACCCCCGGAACGCCCTCGGCGAGGCGCGGCTGCTGGAGGGCACCCCGAGGCTGGAAAGCCGCTGAGAACCGACGAGAACCTCCGAAGACCTGGATCGAACCTCGAACCCGAACCGTCCCCGCCTCCCCTGGAAGTTGCCCCTCCCAAGAGAACTCCAAGAAAGCCCCCAGAGGGCTACAAGAGACCCCCAAGAGGGCCCCAAGAGGCACCCGAGAGGCCCCCAAGAGGCCCCCAAGAGGCCCCCGAGCGGCCTCAGAGAACCCAAGATGACCTCCAAGATGGCTCAGATAGCCCAAGCTGGGTCAAGATGGCTCCCAAGATACTCCAAACGGCCCCAAGACCGCTCCAAGAGCGCTTTAAAAGAGCCCCAAGAACTGCTGAGGACCCAGGATGAAGCCAAATCCTTTCAAAATCGGTCCCCGGACCACTCCTGGGGCTCATCTGGCGCAGTGTCTCACCTTGGATCTGTTTTGAGGGTCCCGGGGCCCCCGAGACCGAAAAAAAAACAAAAAACCTGCTCGAACCCAGAACCTCCAACCCGCCCGCCCTTCCTGCCGGCCAGAAGCAGTGCTGGGCCACCTCGGACACCCAGAGCCGAATCCCAGCCCCTGGAAACCCCTCCCTTGAAACCCCTCCCCTAGTGGCCTTCTTGCTCTCCACGTTGTCTATGTCGCCCGTCATGTCCTGCGCGAGGGCCCAAATGGGCGGCTTGACCTGCCCGCACGTCCCGGGGGGGCGAGCGCCCGTGCGGTGCCCATCGGCCGCCGACGTCGGCGCTCCTCGCCGCCGCGAGGCGGGGCCAGCCGGTGTGCGAAGGGGCCCCCGGACACACAAATTGGGGGGCGGAAAGATACGGATACGTGTTGTCCCCGGACCTCTCTTGGGGTGCGCTCTGACCAGAATTTCGAAGCGAATCCAGCGGTGACAACGAGGATTCCCCAGGAGGACCAGGAAAGGCCGAAAACGAAGGGGGACAACACGTATCCGTATCTTTTTCTCCCCCGAACAAAGGAAGACACACATAAATAAAAAGATTCCCCCATGTTTTCTCACACGTTCTGGGCTTTTTTGTCTTCCCCCCCCCACTTCCCACATGTTCCCATACCTTCCGAGGGATCGGCGCTTCATGGTGTCCGTGTGCTTTCTCCCCCTCCTGAGTGTGGCGGCCGTCGGAGGGCGCGGCACGATTTTCGGGGCCTCAGGCACGCCGCCCCCCCCCGCACCGCGGGGGCTGCGGGGAGGAGCCTCCCTCACGAGGGGCAACGACAAAGGGGGGAGTGGGCATTCGGGGGGGACGCGTCGACCTCCAACGGCCGACGCATCTCGCTCATGCGTCGTCGATGCGCACCGCCCCAGGCAGCATCAATACATCGCCGGTACATCCGGCTGAAATCAACGAGGCATCGTCGATGCGTCGTCGATGCATCAACCCTTCGAGGTCGATGCATCCCCGCATACCTATCCTCCCCATATCCTTGCCTCCGAGCTGAGCCACAGGTGCAAGAATTCGGCGCGGAGCTCCCAAAGTGTGTGTGTGTGTGAGTCAGTGCGAGTGTGAGTGTGAGTGTGTGTGTGTGTGAGTGAGTGAGTGAGTGAATGTGTGTGTGTTGTGTGTGTTTGTGTCTGTGTAGGTCTGTGTGTATGTGTGTGTGTGTCTGTGTGGTATGTGTTGTGTATTGTGTGTCGTTTGTCGTGTGTTGTGTTTGTGTGTTGTGTGTTGTGTTGCGTGTGGTGTTGTGCGTTGTGCGTTGTGTTTTGCGTAGTGTGTGTTGGTTGTGTGTTGTGTGTTGTGTGCTATGTGTTGTGTGTTGAGTGTTGTGCTGTGTGCTGTGTGCTGTGTGGTGTGTTATGTGGTGTGTTGTTGTGTGCTGTGTGTTGTGTGGTGTGTGTTGTGTGGTGTGTGTGGTGTGCTGTGTTGTGTGCTGTGTGTTGTGTTGTGTGTTGTGTGTTGCGTGTTGTGTCGTGTGTCTTGTGTCTTGTGTGTTGTGTCTTGTGTGCTGTGTGTTGTGTGTTGTGTCTTGTGTGTTGTGTGTTGTGTGGTGTGTGGTGTATGTGTATGCAGCGTTTTTCTTCCTCGAGTGGAGGAAGGCGCCTGGCGTGATGCGTGCGTGCAGCACACGAGGATGAACACGGCGACGAACCTGGCCAGGTCATCGTAACGGGGTGCGGCACGCGCAAGGTACGTAGAATGCACTGCGGGAAGCCCGTCTGAATGACGCTGCGCGCGAGGCAATTGCCGCCAAGCTGCGCCGAGTAGTCTGTCACCTGCGCACACCTCGCCAAACCCGCCTAACCTCTTCCCTCCTGCTAGATGGGAGATGGCTCTGGCCATCGCTTACTATTATCATCCTCACCTGCGTGACCGTAAGGCTTTACCGGCGTAATCACTATTGGCAGGTTTTTTACCGGCAAAGCAGGCAGGCCTGTCGGCGCTTCCTCGTGGATTGCGGTGGCGCAAAGCCGGGATAATTGAAAGCTGCTGGAAGATGATTACGTTGAGTTCTGTGAGTGGTGAGGGCGGCAGCCACGGCTGCCATCCGTCGAGCCCTGTTTGGGGGCACGTGGCAGCGTGCGACACGCGCTGTCCGTACTCGACTTGCTGTGCTGTTCCTTTCACCGGCGTGACCCTTTGGCCCCTTTGACCGATGCACCCCGCGGGGGCATCAGCCGCAGGATGTTGCGGCCGGGTTTTCGGGCGGCCTGTCTCCAACTGGGGGGCTGAGATGTCCAGGCTGAGATACCATGGCCCGGTGGGGACGGGGATACGTTTAAGTAGGGCCTGTCCTCCTGCAGGGGGATCTTGGACGAAAAATCCAAAACAGCCAAAGCGTACATCAACATTGTATAAGAATACAAACAACATCGTCCCCTGACAATGTTTGTAGAGGGACAGGCCCGACGTAAGGATACGCTACATGATACTGAGGGAAGCCCATCTCGACGAGGCTGCGTGCGACGTAGATGCCGCCGAGCTGCGCCGAGTGGTCTGTCACCTGCGCACAGCTCGAGGAACCCGCCTGCAAGAAGTCCCCGCCCAGCGGCGACGGGACAGCGGCCGCGACACAGGTAGCCTGCGATAAAGGCACCCCCTTCCCTCCTGCTGGACGGGAGATGGCCCTGACCATCTTGGAAAGCAGTAGATGGCTCGCCCAAGAAGCCAGAATCTGCGCAGACAACTGGGCCTGCACCAAATCCATCTGCTTCTTCGCGCCAGCGCGGCTCCCCCCTTCTGCTCTGCGGGGGTCGAAAGGGAGGATACTGGCTAGGGGGGGAGCTTCTCCTCCTCCTCCTCCTCCTCCTCCTCCCTCCCTCCCTCCCTCCCTCCCTCCCTCCCCTGGAGGCCTCCAAAATCGGCTCCGAGCAAATCGGGTCGGAAGATCGCGCCGCATCACCGCTGCATCGCCGATGCACTGGCGATGCATCGGCGACGTCGGAGATGCATCGGGGACATTCGGGGATCTTCTGACCAGGGTCAATCCAGACCCGGGTCAGTGAGGCCTTGCAAAATCCTGCAAAATCCTGCAAGATCCTGCACCCAAAAACCCGGGTCAACGCGAAGGATCCTGCAGGATCCTGCAAGATCCTGCACACAGAGGCCCGGGCCAGTGCGACCCTGGCCCTGCAGGATCCTGCAAGATCCGGCGCTCTGGCTGACCCCGTTTGCATTGACCCCCGTCTCAAGGCTCCCGACACCGCTGCATCGCCGATGCACCGGCGATGCATCGGCGACGTCGGAGATGCACCGGCGGCGTCGGCGCCAAGAGAAACGGCGCCCCGCACCGAGCCGCGCCGCCGACGCACGAGCGACGCGGCGCGGTCCGCGGGCGCTGCCTGAGGTCGGCGCGCGCGCTGCGTGCCTCGTCGAGCAGAGGCTTCTCTGCCCGAGGTCCACTGCGCCTCCGAGTCGTGCAGCCGTCCGTGGATCTCGCCGAGCGGTCCCTGTCCTCTCCGCCCTCTCTCTCTTGGGGGCGAGCAGGCACGGATCAGCGATCCACGCTTTTGGCGCGCGGCCGCCGCCTCGCTCGGCGGCGGAGCTCCGCGATTTCCCATGGCAGCGGGGCCCGTCGCGAATCCACGCCCCCATGGATGAAGGGGCCCTGGGACACACAAATAGATACACACAAATAATAATGTTCTCCATATTTTCCCATATTTTCGGGGTTTGTGTCTTCCCCCCCACTTCCCATACTTTCCGATATTTTCTTGGGAGTCGAAGATTCATTGTGTCTGTGTGTTATTTTCCCTCCTGAATGGATCCAGGCCTGCGGTCGCCCGACTGGTTCTCTCCCCCCTTCACGAAGTCCACCTCCCCCGCGCGGCCCGCCCCCACTCCCCCTGCATGCAGAAGGAGAGGAAACGGCAGGAACCTAAACTTTCGGGGGTCCGCGCGGAGCTCCTGGCTCTGGGCTACAGAACCGCCTCCCTGGCGCGCCAGGGGCGCGCTGAGGGGCGACACCGGAGGCGCCGCCGGGGGGCCCCGGGCGCGGATCCAAGAAATCCGCGCGGACCGTCGAAAGCTTCTGTGCATGACGAACGCACAACGCACACACCCATACCCATAGGGAGGTCGGAGGGAGAAGGACTGGCTGTGGGTATGGGTGCGGGTTGTCGGACCCCTGAGGAGGCTCCCGTTCGAGCGGGGACCCCTGTCCGACAACACGCACCCATAGCTCATTCCGTCTTCCCTATGGGTGTGGGTGCGTGTTGATCGTTCGTCATGTTCATGCCGTTTCTTGTTCTTCGAGTCTGGCCATGTCTTTGGTGGAGATGTACAGGCCGGTGTTCCCAGCGGGCCTTGCGCGGCGAGGAGGGGGGTCGAGGGTGCCCCAATGCTCTGGACGACGCGGGTTGCCCAGGAGGAGAGGAGGAGGAGGAGGAGGAGGAGGAGAAGGAGGAGGAGGAGGAGGAGGGGGAGGAGGAGGAGGAGGAGGAGGAGGAGGAAAGAGGAGGAGGAGGAGAGAGGAGAGAAGAGCTCGCCGTCGCTCGGACGTCTATTCCGTGTGCATTGGTCTCGTGCGTGTCTTTGTTGGCCCGATGGTCGAGGGTGCTCCTCGATGGAGCTCGCTGGGGAAAAAAGCACACGTCCGAGCGATGCCAAGGGAGAAGGAGAAGAGATGGATGAATACAGACGGGGAGCCGAGGGAGGAGTTTTGGAGACAAATCCTGGGAAGTCTTCGCAAGAACGATTGAGGGCTGAAAAGCCCGATCACGGAGCCGCTAAGCCAGATTAGACCGTACCAAGCGGGGGAGTAAGACGAATCAAGCGGAACCAAGCGGGATTCAACCAGACTAGTCCGGATTATGCTGGATTAGGCTCGTTTTCGACAACGGTTATACCAGCGCCGATGCTGAAGTTAACCTCCTAGGAGTTGCATCCGAAACGAGAGAGGGAGGCAGAGAGGAAGGGAGAGGAATGATGACAGGAAAAACGATAAGGAGGACTGCGATGATGATTGGGGGCAATGGGGGAGCAGGAGACAGAGGCTACACCTTGGGGCTCTACACGTCGATTCGAACCAACGGCCACATTCTTCACTTGCGACAAGCACAGGAGGCCCAAACGAATGCGCATACGGTGTTGGAAAGAACGATTTTGACTGGACTCCGTAGACCACCTTGGGCTGCTCGCACAACATAGCTCTCAATCAAGTTGGCTCCCAATCAAAATACTCACTCTGCACGGCAGGAGACACCCCACCCCTGCTCCTTCCAATTATCATCCCCAGATTCCTCCTTCTCGTCGTCCTAATCCTCCACGGACATCGCGGAGACAAACCCTAGAGTTAATAGAAGAAGCTACTAGGATCTGGCCTCAACACTGCGTCGATGCGAATGACGACCATCGGGAATATGCTGAATCAGTACGTCCGCGAGTCGAACATGTCAACAATAAGCAGTACTAAACGCAGGGCCCTTCACGTGTTACGCCCCTTCTCATTCTCCTCCCTTCTCATCTTTCCCAGGCAGCTTCCCAAACACGGCAGGCGGAAGGGATCATGCAAGAAGGCCGCACAGCAGACGCGCCTCATGTTGATGCACTTCCAGCTCGCTTCTGGAGAGCAGCGCAGGTGGATGACGAGACCCTGCAGCCCCGAGGCCCTCAGACTCTGCAACCGAGCACTCTCGTGCCGCCCCTTTGGACTCGCAACAACCACCGCTTCCAAGCTGCTCTGCACTCCTGCCGAACCAAAGCATGCCCTGCATAGTTAACATGCTTTCCTGGGTAGTCGAAGCCCATCTGGCGCCAATCTGGCAGGCCCAATCTGGCAAACGGGGGGCAATCTGGCGAGGGAGCCAGCGCGAATCCAGTCTGGCGAATAGCCCAAATCATCCAGTTTGGCCGGGCCAGATTGGCCCTTGGGGCCCAATCCAATCTGACAGTCAGGGCCTTCGACTACCCAGCTTTCCCCATCGGCCCCTGCGGCCCAAAATCGGCCATGCCGCGCCTTCAACAACGATGTCGCTTGGGCCAACAGTGGATTCTGACTTGGACGGGATCTCGCTAAATGATGTTGCCCCTACGGGAACACGTCCCTCTCAACTGCGAACCAGACTACCAACACTGGGGCCATCATAATGTGCCAACCGACTCGCTTGGCAGTTCTGCATGACTGGACACAGTATCTCCGTAAACAACGTAAGCGCGGCACTCTTGGCGAATGGTGCAGTGCATCCTGAATCGTCGCTCTGGCAGCGCCCGACGGTCCTACAAAACTGCATGGCACGTGCCCGCTCCTGCACCACAACTGCTTCACAGACCGCACACCCGTAGGGGAACAAGAAGTGGCACAAGCACAAAAACTCGGGAGGTCCGCGCGGATTTCTCCGATCGGCGCTGGGCCCACCCTCCCTGGCGCGCGGAGCGCGCCAGGGGCCCAGCGCCGATCCGAGAAATCCGCGCGGACCTCCGAGTTGTTATGGTTATGCCACTTCTTGTTCCCCTGATCCGGCAATCCAGCCCCGCCTCTTTCAAGAACTCCGCGTTCTCCGGGACGTTGAGGGCCGATTCTCCTGCCGCCCTCATCCAAGTGCACAAGACAACCTGTCAGCGGACAGCCACGCACTCGAAGCCCCATCGCCAACTCTTCCAGTAATCCCGCCAGCCCTCTGGGCGCAGGTATCTTCACGAACTCTTCTCCTCTCACTACCAGGATCCCTCCTTCCCCTGCTCGGGGGAAGGGTCTATCTCTGTCCCCTATTGTTTACGCCCCTTCCCCCACCCGGCCGGCAACCAACCCGGAACAATGCCGACCTCATGACCACCCACCACATACACCATCCCTGACAAAAACAATACAAACACACACTCTGCCTCCACATTTGGAGCATGCGCGGCCGCCCCGCGACCGCTTTGCATCGGTATTTTACAAGGGCGGCCGGGGCGCCAGCAGATCCCACCTGCCTTCTGGGCGCAGGTGGTCGACCGACTGCTTTGACAAATCAATGGCTGCTGCCTTCTCGCCTTTTCGTCTCCGATGGGCTTTCGAAGCCTCCAGATGGCCCCCAAATTGAGTAAGAAAGCTCCAGGCCATGTCCAAGAGGCCTCCAAACCGGCCCCAAGAACGCGCCTAACTGGCGCCAAGGGGGCCCCGACAGACGATTTCGAGGAAGGGAAATGATGGCCCAAGTGAGCTCCACTCTGGGCCCACCAGGCCTCCCCAAGTTCGCCCCAAGGTGGCCCAAGGAGGGCCTCAAGAGGCTGTTTTTGAGGGCCCCCGAGGGGGGGGCTAGCCCCAGATAAGGGGGGGGGGGGCTGATCACTGCCCCTTCTTCTGGGCCTGACCGCGCGCGACTCGCGGAGCCGCGATCTTCCCTGTCGCAGTTGAACCTGCAACCGGCACGGCGGGGTGTGAGTGCCCTGGCGCGCACTCTGCATTGCGTTTCGACGGGGATGGCTCGGTGCACACTGGTTGGTTGGCGTGCCTGGCCACGCGCCATCTCGCACGTTTGTTTCTCATGCGTGGATGGACAGGGCCGCGCGCGGTGGCCGGCAGCCTCAAGCATGCGCTGTATAGCAACAGTTGCCGGTGTAGCAGCAGTTGCTGGTGTAGCAACAGTTGCGGCGCACGCAGGTGGAGCCCCTGTTGGCTCCTAGTGCCTGGCGCACCTAGCGCGCCTGGCACGCTTGGGCCTCCAAGGTGCCTGGTGCATATTGAACCCGTGGCTTCCGCGGCGCTCTTACGAGATATGCTGACGC